GATATTGTCAAGTTTCATGGAAATCGGAGATATGACGATGACGACTTGAACTGATAACTGATATGTGCATATCAATCATTTAACTGATGNTCCTTATCATCGAATTAAATGACTTTCATTGAAACTATTCGAAACGCATTGCGCATCGTCGTTATTCCCAATGAACACTCAAATCATTCAACTGATTAATTCACTGTCAAGGTTATTTTATCGTCTTTCATTGCTCAGAATAATTGAATTATCAATGTAACATTCACATATTTAAGGCTTTAATTTGTGCTCAAATATCATTAATGAACCACAGCATTAATTTAATGCGGATTGTTAATTTTACTGCGCTATCACTGCAGGATGCTTACAATTAAGTAATTTTTTAAAAGATATTGACAACTTTCATGCGAATCGGAGGTATGACGATGACGACTTGAATTGATAACTGATATGTGCATATCAATCATTTAACTGATGCAAGCATGCAAGCAAAATGTGAAATCGCAAAAGCTTCATTAGTATATGTGAATGTTGCTCGTGAAATTTTCATTCGGAGCTGTTGAAATAACGCTAATGACATCTGACAAAAGGGAATGAAGTACTAGCAGTGAAGTGGATAAGTGGCAGACAAGATAACAATTTGAAAATTAACCCGTCAACAAAGAGATCAACGCAACGATCAAAACTGATAATATATTTTCGAATCGACTCATCTGTCCAATTAATTTTTCAAATCACTGCACAACTCAATCACCTGCAATTAATTGACATTTTAAGTGAAATTGAAATTTATGGTAACATTCAGTGAAACACATTTTCGAGGTGAATGCTTCTCATTTCGCTCGTCTCATTGTCAACAATACAATGTCACTGTAACACGATGACAAGCCAGCCCAGACATGCGATTAGATCAGCCATGTAATCGGATCAATTCCCACTCATGGCTCATCGAATTCAACTTCATGTCAAATTCAGACTCCATTTCGAGCAAAAACTTCTCATGGAGATTTTTTTTCAAAGTTTGTGATACTAACGAACAAGTGACTATCGATCATGCATTGGTATGATTTCGTTGTTGAGTTCAGATGGATATGGAACACTGACTACGATTCTAGTGATTGCTTCTTACAGATAAGATAGAAACTTCTTGGTAATACCAACAAGTACTTTATCGAGTGTGCTTATAAGTATAACGGAGTAATACGTTGAGAAGTACAAAACCAGGAACTTGAAGTGGCAATAGTACCAACTGAAACAAAACGAAACGAAACGAAACCTGTGATGATGATTTGAGAGTGAATTCGAAATCAGATCTTCAACAGAATAATTTTAAGGAGAAGCAACAAGCCGTTGATGAACGACGGGCAACGGCAGAAAGCAACCAAAGAAACAACCAAAGAAGAGCACAATTCGAAAAGCCCCGAGGCGATAGTTGAGGGGGATTCGGCGATTCAAAAAGAGGATTGAGCAAGTCGATTGGCATATGCAGATGATGATGATCAAAAACTGGTTGCTTGGTCACAGTGTAAACATCATCAAATCAATATGAATGAAAATTTTTGAATGTTCTTAATGATTTTCATTCATTCGATGTATTATTATAATAAATTAAAATATAACTGTGCAAGATGCAAAACGTTTCGGTTTGATTTTCTATTGAATTTTCATATTCTATTTGCGACTGACTCATTAAACGTTTCTAAAACGAAAACAATTATCATACATATGAAAAATGTGCACATCTCAGTGCACAAGCCTCAGTCATCAGAATTATGCGGAACTTTGAATATTTATCGATCAAATACCTGGAGGTTAAGCATGAAGAGCTCAGCAAAGCAACATGATTCGGAGTGATTCATGATGCACTGCGTTGCAAGCCTGTAGCCAAAATTTAGAAGTGGACAACTTTTATCAGAGTGATGAGTGAGAGGGCAACGGAACAAAACAATGAGGATAATAGCAGGTGAAAGTTCGATTTGATAGTTCAGCTTTTTAATTTCTTGTTTTTTGATGGATAATCATTTATCTTAATGTAAAGTACTGATAAGTTCTTGCAGAGTGATCAAGAAGTGAGACTTTTTAGTCATAATCCCCAAACTGAAGTCATTTTGAAATCGCATCAGAAGTGGAACGATAGCAATGATCTCAAGAAATTAATTCGCATGGAAAATTTTCCAGAGGAAGGGAGCACAAGCAATAAAAATCCCAAATTCATCATCTAAAAAACCGTTTTGTTCCGACTTCGTTCCACTTCAGAATCTTAATGTAAATGATTGAAAACAATCCATTTTGCGAATAATTCAAAATCATTTGAATCATTTCAATGATAAAAAAGAGCGATTCTCTTTTGACAACTGGTCCGACGGGTTTCTTTCTCAATTTTAAGCAAAGCTTATTGAACGACTATAACGATATCAAAAAAACAGGCAATTTCTTGCATTTGATACTGAATTCATCACGCTGATTGATGCTTTTCAAAAATTCTTATCTCGAGTATCATTTTTCGATACTCCGATTGTGATACCATTTATTTTTTTTCGATACACAACTTCTTGAGTGTTGCATCAGAACAGCTATATGATCAGTCATTCAATGAAAATGATCACCTTTGATAAATTTATGAACGCGTGATCTAGTACTCAATAAAAATTAGCATTTTCCCGATTATTTTCGGTTGGAATTTCTGGAAAGTGTGCAGTATTCTCCTGGAATCCACAAAACAAGGGGACTTACATACATACCGAGCGATGTTTTCAGGAAACCACTCAAGAAAACAATCCCAGTCTATAAGCCAATTATTACGGAATGAATATTGGATAAGATTGGAATGGGAATGAATAGAGGAAGCACTGTGCTGATGTATTGCGATCATTTTGTTTTGTATTAACAATGAGAAAGTTTTATAATGATACAAATTAATAGATAAACATAAAAAGAAGAATGCATCGATGTGTGTGTGTGATATGATAACGATTAGAGACGTACAAATCGCATACAAGATTTGAACAAATCACTTATAATACATTCATTCTTTCAATTGATCGTTCATAAAAGTTTCCGAATGAAACGTGCGATATGATTTGATAGTGGAGGATAATGCCTTATACTCATCTTACGGAAGGATGTTCGTTATGACTCAAGCCATCGGTGAAGTATCAAAATCAAATAAGCACAAAAATGAGGCCAGTTAGCGACTTATGATCGCTATTATTTGCTGGATTGAATGATGCCAGTGTGAGATAGGAATTGATCTTATTCGGATGTCTAAGAGATATATGCTATATATGAGTTATGAATGCATATCTAAGATGTTAAAAGATACTGTTTATCAAATATAATAGCATATTTAATTTTGAAATTGTAATAATCTCGATGCATAATAAAGTAATAACATCACTGCTAAACAATGATATCGCCATTAAAGTAATAATGATGGCGACGATTTTCGAGTGCGAACGTAATAATGGATATTTGTATAACCGAATAAAGCTGGCTGTTGAAAAGTGAATGCTTCAGAATGGTTTTAGTAGGGTGACGACTGGATACAATATCCGATTGAACCTGAGGCGATGTTGACACAAAATGAGTTTATTCATAAACGTTGTTTCACACAATTCAATCTAGTCGTTATAAGTAAGTAAACATTCTAACAATAAGAATACAATTATTTTATATTCAAATACTCAATATCTCCTCTATGAAGTATCTCTTCTAAAGATTTTTGAATTGTGGCACAAAATTTAAACGGTGATCCGTCTCGACGAAATTCGTTCAGTTTTTCGAGTCAGTGAAAAATAATAAAATTTCAAACAGTATGCAATAATCTGTTGCATTTGACATTTATTACCGCCTCGATCAACGAATATTCAACTGTATTCATTTTCGCAAACCGCATCATGAATCGTTTCAGAAGCATTGAAGGGCAGAGAATAGTCTTTTATGAGCTAAAATTTCCATTTAAAACACTAATTGAATGTCGAAAACGGCAACGCTTTGAAACGCACATAAATTGTTGTTTGTATGGCATTCAGCAACCACAATGATCATCATAATAACAATAATCATAATTAATAAACGACCGATTCATTTTTCAACCTTGAAATCAAGTTTCTCGATTGCAATCGACAATTTTGTCGTATATTTTATGGAACAAATCAAAAATCAGATCCGATTCTGCTCATCAAAACCGGATTTTAGAAATAATGATGTGATTATCGCATTCGACTGCACCTTGCATAGCTATAATTCATGTAATATTATATAATGATTATTAATATAAACTAATACTGACAAGCATTATATAACACGACGTGAAATGTTGTCCTTGAAAGAGTGCTTTATCAACAATGAATAACCTTCCCATGGTGCAACATCAACATAATCCACTCCGCCTCAATAACGAAAACTTATGCTTATCCCCCCTCACGACTTATTTTGTCAGCTTTCAAACACGAAATTCTAATCGCTCGAAGAAATACGGCCTGAGGCCTTCATTTAGATTAGCAAGACTGAATTGTCATTCGAATCGCGGAACAGGAGATAATCAAAAATGTTTCAAACGGATACTGCCCAGTTCCTGAGATGTACTTGAATATAGCTCCTGATATAGCTGTCATTGTATTCACAGACTTATAACGGAACGAATTTTCATTTCAGTTTTGAGTATCAAACTGATTACGATCAGTTTCAATGCATATCTTTCACACCGCTCATTTACAAGGCCATCTTGATTAGTTAGAAATTATGCTAGCGGAATAATTTCACTTTGTCGAAAGACTGATACATAGGTTGCCGAGACACAGCTAAGTTCTTCCAAATATCTCATATAGCTGCTAAACGTCATTGTATCTGCGAACATTTCACATTTGATCTGGATGCCGATCAAATGACATCCTTTCTTCACGAATATTATTTTCAATCATTTTCAACCATTTGCTCAAGACCATGTTGGTTTCTTTACACTAGTGATGGCATCTGACAATGAGCGAAATTTTGCGTTGGTCGGAATGCAAGCGTCGGAAATTCCGAACAAAATTGTTAGCTAATAGTTACTCACATGAGTATAGCTAAATTTGAACAATATCGTACCTAAGTGAACGAGCGATTCAACAGCACTACCAAACTCTTCACATTTGATCGTTCAACCATATGCTACTCTCGGAATACCTGCAGTATCGAGTTCAAGCGTGCTGCATGTTCACGTTTGCTCATCAGCTCCGGGATTTCTGTGCGTCATCAGGTTCTGCGGATTCTATTGAATCAAAAATGTCTCCATAAGATATTGTCCAGTTCCTGAGATGTAGTTAAACTTCGAACGGCACGACATACTACTGAGCGATTTCATTAATAAGCGAATATATCATGTCTGTAAATCAACGCTACAATTTTTCCTATTTTGAAGATCAAATATAATAGGTAGATCCCAGCTGGTATAATTGCCCTCAATAAGAAATCCCTAGTGCATAGATCAATCTCTCTTCGCGACGTGTTTCCATATTTTGCGGATCAAAGTATTCAAACTACTAGAATAACCCCGTTCAATGACAGAGTCATCATTTTAAAAGGTTTTCCTGACGCCATCGATGTGTATTGTCGAAAAACTGTATCCTTTTCAAGTGAAAGTCTATTTTCCATTCATCCGTAAAAAGTTCCTTTTTCAATTTCAAAAACTTTTCATTCATCCGTCCAAAACGGTTCTGCATGAACAATCGCACCCAACTATTGAATGAAATTAACAGAAATGAAACAAGGTTGTTGACGAAACAGATTCAAAGAACGGATTTTTATTGAGAATCAAACAGAGAATGGACATAAAAATGCTCATTAAAATCAAATATCAATAAACATACAACAACGTGACATTTTTTCTAACCTCAAAGTCAAGAAACTGAATTTGTTTCAACGCTATGCAAAATAAAATAATTCAATACAATCAATTTGTATTCAGTTAGAAATCAATCCAGTAAACTTTGTACGTACTCAATGATTTCTATTCCACAGGGTGCTTATTTTGGAGACATAATCCTTATTTCTTCAGTGATACAACTACTCATTATGCTTTTCACTTGCTTGTAAATAAATGAATGAAGAACGAAAAAGAAATTTTGGTGTGTGAGAAACAGACATCAATATCACATACACGCACAAATACACCTTACTGAACAATCAAACTATTACAATTACGAATTACAACTCATTTTCGACGATTCAAAATTGGATAAATCAGTAGTCACTAATTTGTTCTTGATACAATGCCGTCATTGGACACGGCTGAACCGCATGAAATACATTCAATATTGCTGTTACAGAGAGAGGAGATCATTCTAACGCATAAAGGAACAACAACACAACACTATTAAATTTAAGGTTGCTGCAGGGCCAACGCCTGATTTCGACCGTCGCAAGCCACAAACTTGACACGATCCACCCGTTCACCAAACGAATTCGATGCTTCACGAAAGTCGACTCCCTCCATCACAAACGTCCAAACATTATCGCAGAATCGATAAGTTATCAACTTATCAGCCTGTTATAAAATATCTCACTTTAACGAGCAATAATTTTACCTATTGTTAGCAACCAACAAACACATTCACCGCTGTACTCTATCAAAATAGTCCCATACCAAAAAACTACGACAATTTTTTAACACTCTAGCGGGACTCTCGATTCCAAATAAAGTTCAACAGCTGAATCTAATGCGATGTGACAAAAACAGAAAAATCTGTAATGATAAAACTTCCTCATCAAATGCCTATGATTCTGAAGCATACGGCTGAAAAACAAATAATTGGTCGGACGTTCTTGAAAAGTACTTGAAATATGTATAACAAACACAAAAGTCGCTCGTTGTCAGCAATACCACTAAGAGATTAGATTACACGAATGAAGAATGAATAGCAACAAGGTAGCATACTCGGAATGTAACTTTATTCTTGACTCGAACTTGCAACGCCTTATTAATCGCTTTGTCGAACGTTGTCAATACTTTCATCGCCAGTTGTGGTGTCACCAGACCATCCTGCACAATCAATTTGCAAACAACGTCAAAATTCATCGAAAGTCTCTCAAAAAATATCAATTCCTCAATAAAATTTCTTTACTATGTCTCAGTTCCTTTTCAATGTTGAAAACATCGTTGACGAAATGTTGCAAACTCGGTTAAGTTTTAAATGAAATAAGTTTCACAAATGCAAAGTGAAATTCCACGCTGAGAGATGAATTGACAATGAGATAAAATAACGCACTGTCGACAAACCTGAATAAATTCATCTAAAGTTTTCTGGAGTGCGACTCCTAAAGTTGTTGTACGGTACATCTGATAAGCCATCTTTATCCGTTTCTCTTTACAATAACGACTACTAGTGTTCACGTTCAAAATTAATTCCAGAAACGGGCTACTTCCACGTAAATGAACAACACTTCAATACCACTACAATATAACTGAAAGAAATTTTCGAATATCAATCCGAATTACAACCAAAAACAATGCCATCTTCATTCAAAATCCGGATTGAAGTTGCCATCAGAAAACTTCACTTCAGAAAAAAGAAAACTTATGTCTTAAAGGGTGGTGAATCATCACTGATAATCACCAACGGCAATGAACAACTGCTAATGGGCATTTTCAGATGTGATCACAACGGATTTATCTCATACTACTATTCTGAACACAAAAACAATCGACATTCCCAACTTCAGCAGAATTAATAGGTTTAAAACATTTATGACCAAAGTCTTAACTAAGAAATCAAAAAATTAGCGATAGAATTGTTGAATTGCGGAAATCAACCGGAAAGTTGACAGCAGCAAAAAATACAAATTAATGAGTTGAAGAAACAAACAGAAAATTTATCCTTCACTTTATAACAACAATAATCATTGCAATTAGAATTTACAAAGTAATTGTGTACATTACAAATAGGAATATATATCATAGAGTGCAAATGTTATTCTTCAAAAAGAACGAACCCATCATTTGTATCATTATCACCAACTCAAGAAACAAATCGATCACAGTTTCAGATGGATAAATTTTTTACAAGAAAATGATGAGAAGTAAGATAACTGAATTCAACGTTAGCAAAGAATAGCAAAAATGAAACATAGCATAATCTTAAAAATTGATATGAATATATCTATACAACTTCAGTACATGAAAGTTAAAACAATATTCAAATATTATCACAAAAACGTTTCCAGTAATACACTCTATTCTTACTGCTACAAAATGACATCGCTTTCTTTCGTTCCCTAGGCAAGTGTCATTATAATTCAACAACTGTGACTACTTTCGTGGTTAGTCATTTCAATGATTTTCTTCATTCAACGAATACAAATGGAGTCATTTCAATGAGTTCGGTAATAAATTTCCGCAGTTTTGTTCAGCAAATTACTCTCGCTAGACATCTGCGTTGCATCAGAGCAAATGTTTTCTGAACATTGATACTGTCTTCATAGAATGACTCAAAACTGAACACTTCCATATGAGTCTAAATCGCACGAACTCACGGCAGTAATAAGTGATATGTCCATATCCATAAGCGAAAATTAATGGTTATTACCACTGCCATAGAGAGGCCTAATATTTACAATTTGTTCCACCCATAATCCACCACTAACAGTGAAACGCGCAGCGTCTGACAGAAAGTGGGAGTTTAGCCGTCAAATGTGCGCAAAAATGACAGCTATCGACGGCTGGCAATGCAGATGAAAAAGTGCCAGACACGATGCAAATAGCCTCTTAAAATTTATACGTAGCCTTTATGACAACTTATGATTCAGTTATGAGGCCGACGATATGAGGATATAAAGGCGACGGTTAGCTTGATGCTTGAAAACAATTCATTGCGAAGTGATTCAAATTGAAAAAAAAGTTTGCGAAAAGGAAGGCACGAGTGATAAAATTTCAAAAGACCGGCTTGAAATAGGACAAATCATCACAAAAGATATGACGATGAGAAATGACACATACCAGCTTGATTCTACATTATACAAATTATGAGACAGTAAGTGAAGTGAATTCAGAAAATGAAAAAAAAAAATTTTCAATCACACCAAAAGAGAATTATGTCGAATCTCAAAGAGTGCTCATCAATTCTGATACTGACTTCAGAATCATTCTCATGAATATCTCCAGGATGAGACATTGTTTCGATTAGCGTATCGTCTGTGTATTCTCTACTGAATCATCACAATAACTAATCAGCCATTACAATTACATAAAACGCACGATTGCATAAACAAGCAAGAAACGGTGAAGAATTACTGAACTCAACTTACTTCAAAGCAAACATAACGGGCAATATAAATCATCAATGGGCCATCGATATTAACTGCAAATGAATGGACAACAAAACTGTGTGTTTCAAACAAAAAAGGTTAAATTGGTAACGAATGGAACATTGAATGAAGCTGACTATGAGAAAGACACATAAATAAATAAGACAGAGTGAGTGATGCTTCGAAGTCTTATGACAAAAATTGGCTGCAATGATCATGAAATGACAATTCATAACTATGAATCGCGGTTAACTGAAATGGAAATGTGGTACTCTAGTCGAAAGACTGCTGGATGAAGTGAGATGGTACCAGAGAGGAATACGCAACTCCACTGGAATGGGGAATTTCACGTCAACGCAGAAACTGATGCACTCATCTTCCCTACACAAGCATATTTTGTTGGGATAAAAGAGCCCGATCTACTATCGTCATAAGGTAATAAAGGATTGTGCTCATTGCATGGAAGCACGCTCACAATACGATATCCCATCTCCTAGAACTATTACTTACCAGTTCTTAGGTGTGTATAATTCTAAATTCGCGAAACTCACATCAGACAATTACAGTGGTCGTATATAGAAATTGAAAATGAAACAATGTAAATCGTTAAGCTTACTGCAAGCATCGTACAGCACGCATGCCATAGACAGACTCAAACAAGCGAATATGACAAATTCAAAACGAATGCACTCAATTTTGCACCATTACAAGATAAAATTGTGCACACCAAATTCTAATTTCAACAATGCATATATATATCACTGATCAAATAAGTGACATATCATGAATTTGCTAATTTGGCACCACTCGCATCACACGCAACAAACTTAACACGCTCAATAACACCTTCGATCGGTCTTGTCGCATCACGGAATTCCACATTCTCCATTACAAACGTCCAAACGTTATCACAAAATCGATACGCTCGAAGTTTATCAGCCTGACATTTAGTAAAATTTTAGGGTTGATTATTTTTGCACTTCTTCATTTGCTAAGCAATCATCTCATCGTGAAGTTAGTGTATGGAAGATACAAATGATTATAGAAGACGAAACTCTTATCAAAATTGCTTAGCAGAGCACTGTTCTCGCAAGGAAACAAACAATCAAATGCATCCTTCTTGAATTGATGAATATGTTTCTATGCATCTCTAAGGTATATTGCTTTTAAGAGCTGGATGGGTTTATTTCGAAACGAGACACTGCTATCCAATTTTTCCATAATAGAAGAACTAAGCAACTGCACTTATATTGTCATCGACAGAGAGTGAAAAAGAATTACAAATAGAGTAGAAATGAAAAGAAACCTTAAAGCTGGTTTTATTCTTAACTCGTTGCGATAGAGCTTTATTTATGCATTTGTCAAATGTTGCCATAACATTCTGCGCTAATGGAGGACTGATTGTGCCATCCTTCAACATTTTCATATTAAGCGATCCTCATTTACCTTCCACTTTATCTTTTACGCTTCATTTACTAATTTTCTGACCACTAATCCAAAAATTTCTCGGTATATTTAACACATTGTTAGCATTCACATTTCAACAAAGGAACAATCTTTTCCTTTCAAAAGATTTGAAATTCTCCACAAGACGGCAACAGTTCGTATGTTCGCATCATCCGTTAATGGAATAATCATGATTAGCGATGTTATTTTCAGCGATAATGCTGCCACATAAATGGTGATAATAAAAAATAACAGCAATGCATGATAGTGCAAAAAGCCTCACCTCAACAAGTTCGTCAAGTGTATTCCTTAATGCAACTCCTAGAGTTGTTGTTCTGTACATCTGATACGCCATATTTATTCTATACACTTAAATTTAAGACTTCCCAATTACCACGACACTTTCAAACAACACTTGAATCGCACGTAACGTTTCAGTAGTTTTGATGAAAACCAATGAATTGTGGTGTAACGCGGCTTAACCAGACAATTAATGAACACTCTCAAAAATAAACGAACTGAACAAGTTGAAATAACAAAACCAGAATAATAATTATCTTAAATCTGCATCATCGAACCGTCAATTTTTGAAAATTTCCCTGTAAAAACCTCTTCCTCATTGATGGCCTAATAGGAAGGCTTAGGCTTAGAAAAGCAAGAGGAATTCATTTGAAAATGCAATTCCTTTCGTATCATGATTCAAGTTGAAGCGTAATTTCATCTGATGGTATCGTTCGACATTTTGTTTTCTTCTGCTCCATTTGATGCAACAAAATCAGTTCATAAAAACAATTCACAAGTAACTCCATTCGAGGATGGCGAAATAAATAAATCGCTTTCATAAGATGAATAATCTCAATTTCAAATTTTCGAGAACATTTATTTGAAATGAATAAACTATTGAATAATAACAAATATCAACAACAAAACAACAACAATAATTTTGCGATAAAGGAAATAATGATATGATAACAAATCACAATAATTTCAGTCTTTTTTCATTGGCAAATCGAAAATTCGTATGTATCCACTCGCACACGCGGTGACAATCCTCTGAGATTTAGCCATTAAATTCATATCGAATATTTCATTCTGACCGCCACACAAAGCCTAAAACCGATAAAAATTAACAAAAAATACCAAAAACCATTAATAACATCAGCAATGATTATGGCAATAACAATATGACTGATCTCACCACAACGACACTCAAATAAACATTCATTATAACAAAAATCCAGAAAAATAATGAAGCTGTATAATTGAATTCCAAAGAGAATGAAAATGAGAACAGATCGAATCAAACAAATTTATGGAATAACGAACCGTGATCGGTTCACCATTCCTTGCGTCCCATATTCGCAGAACTCCGTCTATCGAAGCACTTAAAATGAAAGGACTGCTACCTCCTTCAGCACTCGAG